GGGGGTTATCTAGGGGATTCTATAGCGCAGTACGATAGGGGTTATTGAGGGGGGATACTAGGAGTTTAGACTATGGCTTACTGGTGGTCAGGGTTTAGGGTTTCTAGGCCTTAGGGTCTATAGGGTTTAGAGTCTATTTAGGGCTTATAGGATTTATAGGGTTTAGGGTTTATATTGTAGGGTCTTTAGGGTGTATAGGGTTTGGGTTTATAGGGTATCGGATTTATAGGGTTTAGGGTTTTTTTCAGGGCTCGCAGAAAATCAGGGAATACAATCCCTATATAACGCCAACATCATATACTCAATTCCGTTATTCCCCACCAGCCACCTGTAAGGTCGGGGATCTACACCATAAACCCGAAAGCGGTAGGCTACCCAACAGCATCCTGGAAACGCTGACAGGTCGGACAAGCCTTGGTAAACCGTCCCGGGTTTTGGGGCTTAGGGTTTCGGGTTAAGGGGTGTTTTAGGGTTTAGGGTTAAGGGGTGGTCAATCCTGCATGCTACTCCTCAGTAGTTCTTGTGTTGGGGATCCTTTAGTCGGGCAACGGGCGTTCACGCCATTCCTTGACGGCCTTGTCAGCAGGCTTGAAAGCATGTGGCCTCGGTAGTATCCAAACCGCTTCAGGTTGGGCTCTAGGATCTCCTAAAATTTAGAATTGCAAAATCCTTGGCCTTTAAGGGTTTAGGGGTTAGGGCCCTATGATGGAGAATCAAATGGAACAGAAAATGAGAAATGAAATGGAAACTGGGACTACATAGGGTTTATATTGGGGGATAAATTTTGTGGCGCAGGGGCTTTCCAGGCACCTGCCAGACCGCCAAAGGTCCTTGGGGCTTCCCAACCTCCATTTCAGCTAATTTTCTCGTCAAAGTTTGAGCAGATAAAGCTCTTAATGTAGGAATGCTGGGTTGAAGTCCCCTCAGTTCTGTTCAGATTTACAATCCCAAAATAAAATGTCCCGTTCCTGCCGCTGCTCTGATCATTCTCGACCTCCACGAGGATACGCCAAATTAATGATGGCTGTGGTAATTACGAGGTAGACGAGGTAGTGAAAATCAGCATGTCCAGCGAAATATGAAATTCGAGATCCGAGGAAAGAACTATTTTAAATTGGCCAGATATAGGGGTCATATCAGGATATTGGAAAGGAAATGGAGACTACTTACTATAGGGTTTTGGGTTTTGGGCTCAGAGTTTAGGCGCTTAGGAGTTGAGGTTTTAGGGAGAGAGCTGATATCGGCATATCGTTGGGGCTATACATGATAAAGGGACGGGGAGGGGGGCGATGGGGGGGTAATAGTAGTGCGGGGATGGGATGAACCAAGTGGTAGTCTTCCCCCTCTAGCATGAGCAAACACACAGGACACAGCGGGAACTGCCTTTCTCGTGATAGGATACGTACAGAAGTTGAACCCAACTGAACACGCCTTTTCCCCCTCTAGCATGAGCAAACACACAGGACACAGCTGGAACTGCCCGTCTCGTGATAGCATACGTACGGAAGTTGAACCCAACTGAACGCAAACGTTTACCCGTTTTCTTGGAATCGTTGTGTACGCAAACAGAAATTGAGGGTCTACATTCAAGTGACGGAGTCTTTTGAGCTTCCGTGCAATCTAACAGGAGCCAGTGGCAATCACGCGGGGACTTTCATCCTGAGGCATAGGCGTTTTTCAGGGCAACTTGCACGCGAAATGATATGGGGATAGTCCAAAAACCCATGTTTAAGAATATATATATATATATACATAAGCGCGGGGACGCATAATGCAACAACACGCAGGCGAAAGCTCGCGAAAGGGCGGCGAAAGGNNCAGTCCCAACAACTTCTTTTGTAGCATGGCATAGCTGGACCGCTGCACAGGCATCATCTTTATCAATATATGTCCATCAAATCGCTTCGGGAGCAGATGTTGTAAGATGACGTTAAAGGGCATGCCATTGCCGATGACGGGTTCAAAACAGTTTGCGTTATCGCGCGGATATGAAGGCTCTCCCGCGGCTCCAACAATACCTGGAATTAAAATTCCGTGTGCGCGCCAGCGCTCAATTCCGCTTGAAAATGTTGAAATGCTTGCTAAAGCCATTTATTTAGCGCGCAATGTTTCAGTTCAATGCAAGCGGGCGGGGTGAGAATTCTACAAATTTGGTATAGTAGCTGCCTTTTTTGTTTTGAGGACGCATCGTCGACAAACAGGGCGCGTCCACGTATTTTGGGGGCTGCAGCATGTCCTGCCCTCCAACATACTGCCGATGTTCCAGTCATGTGCAGGAACCCTGGCAAATCAAAAAATAATTGTTGCCGATTGCTCATGCGGGCAGGATAGGCGTTGTGGCAACACTGTCTGTCGGCCCAGCCCACGGGGTGGAAGAAACAACCCAGCGGATACCTGTGAGCATCCTCTAAACAACCCGACCTCTGGAGGGTGATTCTCGGCCTGGAGTTAATTGCCGCTAAATGTTCTGAGCAAATTGGCACTCAACTGTCCAGAGTGCACGTCTTGGATTTGCTCAAAAGGGAAAATGCCAAACGTGTGCAAAACGCGTGTCCATGATTGTTTTTGTGTTAGCGTGGTTGCCAACAGTTCAACGTGTGAGAAGTTGCAGCCAACGCCGAGTCCAGTGAAGAGGCTTCACGCTGGGCTTTCCTCGTTGTTGCCTGGGCAGGCGTCAGCCTGGGCTCGCGTCCTGCTGCCTGAGTAGTTGATGCCAAGGAGGGGTGGTATTTTGCGAGCACGGCGCCATGTACTGTCGAACTTCCCGGTTTTTTTTGCTGTAACCCCGCTGCCGAGGGCCCCAGCAGCCCTGCCCACAGGGCTGCGGCAATCCTCGCAAAGCAGGGCCCTCCGTTCCTTCAAACAGTTGGCGCAGACCCGTGCGAGCTGTGTTCACACGAAGGATCGGATGTTCAACGGACACTGGTCCAGGATTCGCACACGACTAACGCGCAAAGGCACTCGGCGCACGTTTGCCTTGGATGTTTGTCGGAGCTTAAAGAGCCCAGCCTTTCTTCGAAGATGAACGCCAAGTGGGCTTGCCACGCTGCTTGCAGGCACACAGTATCTGACTTCCCGCTAAGAACGACTGACATTTCCTAAGCCTTCCATGTTTTGACTATCGAAGAACATTTCTACTCTTGGAGTCGAGATTGTTGACAGGGGAAGTGATTCTGCCGTTGGGTCCGCGGCCGGTTGTCAGGGGCCGCTGCCAAAAGAGGACTAGCCATTCTGAACCGGTTGGGTTTATGGCTTGGGGTTTTCAGGTGAGCACTGGTGAATGTGCTTTGCTGGTCTTCCCATAACTTACTGGGGGCTAGTAACAAACAAGGGAAGACGCTTTATAGGCATTGCATGGGGATTATACTCCTTTACTCCTTACTAGCCATCCGTAAGATGATTGCTTCAGGGAGGCTCCCACCCAGCAAAGAGAAGCAAAGTTACACGTCTTTCAACAGCGGGAGTGCCCCTTTTACCTATCATATTTTTTTTGCGCGGTTAGGTGGCACTTTCGAATGATTAACAATTTCCGCTCTCGTGGTACAAAGTGGATTATTCAGAAATAACTCTGATGTTAGAGTACCGCCCAAAAAGAGACGCCTTCAAAAAATCGTGGGTGGATCCGCTTAGGTCTGGGTGATCTGGTCACAGGGCAGTGGACCGTTCTCCGAGGCCGCGTCCAGGTGAGTTACCGTCAATACTAGGGGTAGCGAAGGGCCATGAAAGGTGAAGGGGGACATAAGGGTCCTTCTCGTGGTTTAGTACAGACCCTCATAAATTCTTCAACTAGGAATCCCATGTCCACTAAATTTGATTGGAAACGTTTATTGTAGCTCATCTAGAGCTTCTCAAAACGAATCTTGAGGTTTATAATGTAGTTGAGGGCTGTCTGGGCTCATAATTATGGGGAAAGCACGAGGTTTTGTTAGTGCCTGCGACGGCTTCAACAAAGGTAACTTGGTGAATTTCCCGTACTTGATGCGGCTCACGATATACAATCTAAAAGGCAGAAGGCTGGAACGTCAGCATCGCACCGCTGAGAGATTCCGCAAAACCGCAGAAAAGATCCAAGCAGCAAAAATCATGTTTATGTGCCGCGGCCTGTTTACATCGGTTAAACTTCAACAGTTTTGCGGCGTGTTGAAATCATGGTCCCCACATTGAGGGCTCTTGGATGAAAAAAATTGTCACTTCAACTTGTTGTACGTTTCACAGTCGTACTGAAGTATGCAAAATCAAGAAGTTGAACCAACTCAATAATCGCAACTTGCCTGCTCTGATATCCCCATATACGAGAGTAGCAGGCACGTTTTCACCGAGTTCCGGAGGCTTCAATCGTTTGTTTGCCCATTTGTTCAGTCAAATTGTTTCCAAGGACACTGTGGACCTATAACGCCCGGTAAGAGGGCACTTGTTACGATGAGCGCCCTTCACATACACCAACACTCTACGAAGCTATACGTACCCTCAAAACGGGGGACCCCTAGTTCAGGCCAGTATGATAACCCCAATTTCCATATCATTGTCCATGATCTTTTCTATTTGGCTCTCACTTATTGCAGTCACATCCCTATGTAATCCTTATACAACCGAGTATTATCCTTGTACATCCCTGTATCATCCCTTTGCGATCCCAGATTCTCAAGCATGAAGACCTCCCAGAGGCGTGGACAGCCTACTCCGCCAGAGGGCCACGCCAGTTATGGCCGAGGAAAAAGATCCCAACGGCTTAAGTGACTAATATGTTGTGGTTTAGGGTTTGTGGGCCTATAATCCTAACTCCTAAACCCCCTCTTTCTATAAACAGGTTTGCGGGCCTGTATTACTAAACGCTGAACCCCCTCCTCCGAAAAAAAGTTCCAGGGACAGACCCTTACACAACAGATTATATAAAAGTTTGTATGCGTACTTCCCAAAACATACATTGTGAATCGTACTAAGTCAAAATGCCAAATACCCAATTATTGGGTAATGTTGACCTCTAGGGGAACTGATGTTTTGCAGGCCTGGTGCGCATGGACCATGGATGCTGGTTTGTTTAGTTTCCGCGTGGGGCCTGTTGTTATGTTTCTCTTAGCTTGCAAAACGCCATTCAGAATCTTACGGCTTGTGGTTATGGGTTCGGGGGTTGTGCATATGCTTGGGCGTAGGCGTAGCGGTCCCTCATATGAGCGGAACCGAACCTACTGTAAGCGTTTTCCCCACAACCCGCCTGCTCTGTCCCCTGGCTCCACCAAAGCTCTTGTACCTCGCTCTGCCCCAAACTTGACGCTCACAGTTCAGGGCCATGGTGGCTATCACCTCTAGGTTCTTATGCATCATACTCGAACACACTGTGCAGTCTTTCTTGCCTTTCAAAAAATAATCAGAAAACAAGCGTACTGTGCGCGCTATGGCTCAACAGCTTTAGCTTTATGTCGTAGCCGATCGGCGCTGCTGGGCACAGTTCCTCCCAGTATCGACCCTAACGGCAAGTTCTGGCTTTGTGTTCTTTGAACGATTGTGTGGATTTCAGTGGTGAGGAAGTCGCAGACGCAGAATCGCACTTTCCACGTTTTACAGGGACATGAGTGGGCTTCCAGAACGAGTTTAGGTTCTGCATCACCCTACTGTCATGTCAATCCTGACTCCGAAGCCTTTGCTGTTGCGGTTGTTGCGCGTTGCAAAGTCGTGCTACTGCTACGGCATCTGTCTAGAATGACCATCAGCATTACGGTCTCAGCCAGCAAGGTCGTTCCACGTCCTTCATGGCGACTATTGAGTATGATGACGGTGGCATCAACAGGCCCCGGCACAGTTCTGGACAAAGAAACTTCATTGAAGGACTCACGCCTATGCCAGTCTAAGGTCTCAGCGACTTTAAGATTTCAACAGGACTCAACAGTTGAGCTTCATAGTAGGGAGGAAGCACATCCATTCAATTATGCAGGAAATGCCCTAAACTCTAAGTTATATGTACATATTTTATAATATTCTATAGATTCCATTAATTCATTAATCACCTAGACCCTCCTCCTACCCTCTATTAGGCCCTAATTACCTACTATTAGGGACCATATATCCCCAATTAAGGGTACAAGGAGGGTCCGGGCATGTAGGAAATAGTGACTGTAGCTCATGTGATCCTGTGACACAGGACTTCAAAAGCCTTGACGCAGCCCAAGTCCCAGGCCAGTTGCACGCGCGGTTTAGGATTTAGGATTTAGGATTTAGGGTTTAGGATTTAGGATTTAGGGTTTAGGATTTAGGATTTAGGATTTAGGGTTTAGGATTTAGGGTTTAGGATTTAGGGTTGGGAGGGTGCAGATTGCAATGCAGAAGCCTGCATAATTCTTCAGTATTATGGTCCTGGATTCCTTGCAGAATTATGGTATGGGGTATCTCGACTAGACCCCAAAACAGTATGGGTAACTATTCAAGCCCATTCAGTAAGATAGTTTGTTGTTGGGCGTGATACTAATAGTGAAGATGGGAACGAACAATACTAATTTCAGCGTTGCATGTCGAGAATGCTCCTGTATTCATGCTAGCGCTGTGATCTTGACACCCATGTCGTTTTGACGGCGCCGCAGGGGGCTTCTCAAGCCATGCTACATGCCGTGGGCATGAAGCCGGAAGATCTCAACAAAGCGCAGGCGCCAGTTTTACCCCACGATATATTCTCTTTCCCAGTTTGCGGTTATTGCTTTGGAGGAACCCCTCCCAACAGTGTTCATGCCTCAGGCAGGCTTTGGCAGTCAGATACAGGTCAGCCTACTGAACCATCAGGAATTGTTCTGGCCAGGAAAGTAGGAAGTATGAAGTTAACATATCAAACTTCCTTTTTCAGAGAATTGCAGAATTGGCCAAGTTGCAGGACGTACTATGCCCATGCCTTGCATCAAAGCGGGACTGAAGCTTGTCTGCCAGGTTGGGATATGCTCTGTCTGGTACCAGGGCAACCCGTGCAACATGCACTTGCTGTCGTTGGGTGACGATGTCAAGAAGGAGGTAGACAAGGACATTCTTGCCATCGCAGCTGTTATGTTCAGACTGTAGGGATTCTACGCGCGCTACAGCGCTGAGCTAAGCCGCCCTCCTTTGGAGGACCCGAAGTTGTATGGATTCCAGTTCAACACCATCGGCGTCTCCGATGGCATGTCCATGGGCACAAAGGGCATGATGTATTCGCTGCCGTCCCGCGTCACCCGGCAAAAACTCTGGACAAGCTTTCAAATCATGCCCTTTGCAATGGGCCTCGATTTTGGGGTGGGCCTACGGTCCAAGTATCAGACCTGAGCGTGCTTGCAGGGAGAGCTCCCCAGACCAGAAAGCGGAATGCTCAGTAGCCTGGACACATGGAGGTGTGATTCCTAAAAAGGACTTGGTAAACTGCCCCCTTCATATTTTCTTTTGGGTATCCCAAAAGTTGGTTCAGATTCATAGGCACCAATTTTCTTGTAGTTGCCAGCCACAGAGTCATAGAATGCGGCTGAGGAGATTATCGCTGATAGCATTGAATCTGCGACTCGGACATTGACAGGTTGCTCCATCACAAAGGAAGTTCCGTTTAGGGTTCGGGAAGTATAGTGCGCAAAATGATGACACTAGCGCGGATTACTGTTTTTGTAGAATCCTCTTTATGGTGAGCCGTAGAGTAGAGCGCGTGAACCTGTTGATGGTTAAGGCTCGCGAATCATGGTTTTGATTTCTGCAATTCTCCCTAGGGATCCAAGTATACAAATAATACCTACATTGGGCCCTAAAGTCTGTAAATATTACCTACATTGGGCTATCTGGATCCCTAGGGTCTGACATGCATGGAGTGATGGTTTGAAAGTACAACGGAACATCGCCAAGCGCAGCGGCAGAGGTGGGAGGATAGCCTCGACTCAGGTCATGGGAGCTCAATTTTATGATGCTCTAGTGACCATTCCTGGCTGCGACAAGAACATGCCAGGCTTGTCCCCTCAAATTAAGGCCAAGTGTTTTTGGGGACTAGGTTACTAGGTGGAGAATATGGGGTCGCCAAGGTGTCCTATACTCCCAACTGACTGCTTTTTTCCCAATGGTTAGACCCTGACCTAGAGCTAGGCCTGCCATGAGTCTTGGTGAGTAGGGAATGCGGGAAGGGGTTGCAGGTGCAATTACACGGTAATAGGGGGGGACTAGTAGAGTGATCCATACCTCCGTCCATGATCCACCGAACACCACCAAGTTTGTTGGGTTTTTGGGGACCCTAAACCTAAACCTCCTCTCTTTGGGATCATATATATATATATGTATATGGGCACAAGGATATACTTCCCCTGCATTTCTTGCAATTTCCTTTATGCAATGTGAATTCCATTATAGTATGCTGTATGGATAAGAGGTTGTGGGTTCCGAGTCTTTCTTATATGAATGGTTTATACATAAGATGTCGTGTGTTTCGAAACATGGGGGGCTGTTTCGAAACATGTGAGAGCAAAACATTGAACCAATAAACCAGTAAACCATTAAACATCCAGTAAACCATTAAACCATTAAAGCAATAAACCATGTAACCAACAAACCAATAAACTATTAAACCATTGGTTTTCCCCACATGGAAACACACAATTGGTTTCATGGTTTAATGGTTCGCAGGATTCCCGCATGGGGAGAACCACTGGTTTAATGGTTTATTGGTTTAATGGTTTATTGGTTTAATGGTTTATTCGTTTGATGGTTTAATGGTTTATTGGTTTAATGTGTTATTGGTTAAAGGGTTCACTAGATTTCCAGAGTATGGGGAAAGCCATTGCTTCAATGGTTCAGTGGTTTAGCACTCCAATGATATTCCCACTTGTTTCGAAACAGGCCCGTTGAATGCTTCTAAGTCAAATAGATATATCATATATTAATTCACTTGTATCTGTTCTCAGGTTATAGAAATGACATGCACGAAGTTCAGTTTACAGTTTCCGACATTCGGCGGTCCCTGTTGAAGGGAATCTCCTCCGATAAGGCGTAAAGTGTTTGGTCTGTATTGGTGTCCCTTGTGCATGCAAGATTCTAGTATTTGGTCTATTGGGTTCCCTTATGTATGCAAACGACTATGAAATATCATGAAGACTAGGTGCCTTCATGATGAACTCTGTTTGCTGTTTGTGTTCGTGGTGTTGAGTATGCTTTCCTGTGGGCAGGCTGCGTTATGGCCATGATCCGAATGAACCGGTGCTTTGATCGAACAGATGGAAAGATCCCAGGCAAGTCCAAACTAACGATCCATTTCCGTAAGTTGGCTTGCGCGGGATGTTTCGGGGGACATGAAAGCCTCCCCATGTATGTGTATGTATACATATATATATATATACGTTGGTAAGCTAACAGCTCCCCTACAGTTGTATGGGTCTCAGCCATCAAGTTGCATAGGATTGTGGGCTTTTAGGTTCTGGTCTTTGCTGCATGTGTAGAGGCTGGTGTTCAAGTGCATGTGGATAAGGCCAGGGCAGATAAATAGCAGCATAGATACGACCCTTAAAGTGATGAGCGGCTAGCTATGCATCTGAGGCCTTCTCTCATGCTGTATGGCGGAACCATCGCCTCTGGACGTTCTTGCAAGGGCGAGGACTTGGACATTGTGTCCACGTTTGAGGCCTGCAGTTTGCCAAGGAATGCGCTGTAGGGAGTGGTCCAAGTTAGGGTCTCATGTTTGCCGCAAGCACACTTGGCACGCTGGTGTGGACAGTAACCCAACAACAGAAGTGAAATGAGAATAATTCAGGTCCGGGGGAGCAAGGAGGTTCGATGTACCGACGCAACCGATTCAAAGACCAAAGACTCAAGATGTGCTTCCTGCATGGGGTGTGAATAGTTTGCCGTTACTGCAGAAGCTCAGTCAAGATTGCTTCGAAAGTAGCTGCAAAACTCTGACAAGGCGTATGGCAAGTTCATCGCTGGAACCATCTCAGACGAGGACAGCTGTGTACGTGCAAGCTTCTCAATTTGTAGTCCCCATCTATCGTTAAGGTGGCTAAAATACCCGCATCTAAGAGCACCCGTAAGTTTCTGTGAGGTAGGTAACGATCTAGCATGGCAACCAGCGCCCTCGACTGCAATGCATATTGCATGCACCTCTAGCCCTGAAGGACCGAGCAGACATCGTGAGAAATGCCTGCCCTGGACCAGGGGCCTGCGGCGGCATGCCCCTGGGTCAATATGGGGGGACAAGGATTTTGTAAGGTTTCTGTAGTGATTGCAAGAGGCATGTGTAAGGAACTTGTGGCACACTGGAATGGAAGTATGGGCTGAAGTTCGCTACAGGCTGATATTCCATAGTGGCTGTGAGGTTTACAGGTGTTCTAGGACCCCTGCAGACCCCGGCGCGTCCCCGAAATGTAGGTTCGACGCTTGTGTGACTCCTGTACCCTCAAGTAGCGCTCTGGCAAACCTTTGATGGGAGTCAGGGGTTTCCAAAAAGCAAGGGTCCATTTGGGAAGCCCAAATAATGAACCACTAAACCCTAAAGCCTATACCTTGACCTACAACTGGGGTCCCTCGCCCCTACTTGCGGAAACAACCATTGATACCTCAAGCGAGGTACACAGCAAACACCATGGCAACCGCCACGGAGGCGTGCCTGAGTTCTGTGCCGGATGAAGTTTCTGGTAGGAGACATGGGGCTGGTCACGGTCCCTCCAAAGGGCTCATAGGGGTTTTCTGCAGGGTAAATACAGGGGTTTATAAGTATAGGGCAACAGGGCCTAGGTTTGATCTCATTTAGGGAGTAATGGGGTCTAAGATTTGGGGCTTTCGCTTTGGACTGTCTGAGGGTCTGGTGAGCATCCGCAATTTCGAGAAGCCACAACTTCAGCGGATACATCAGTTACCAAGCTGCTGAGCATGTTCGACATGATGATTATCATTATTACGATTATTATTGTCATTAGTATTGTTGGTATTATTATTGTTGTAATTATTGGTATTCTTATTGTTGTTATTATTGGTATTGTTAGTGGTATTATTATCACTATTATTGCTATTGTTCTTGGTATGATTATTGTGTTTATTATTGGTATGATTATTGATATGATTTTGTGTTATCATTGGTGTTATTGTCGCTATTTATTATCATTATTGGTATTACTGTAGTATTATTATTGGTATTCTTCGTGGTATTATTATTGGTATCATTATTGTCAATATTTATTTATGAGTAACATCATCAGCAAGGGCCCACTTAGATCAGTGGTGGCTCCTGCTGCCGTTCCTGACAAATCCCTTGCTGCTGTTGCTTTGGCTGCTGTCGTTGGTATTCCATGTTGGTGCCGGAACCCATAAACCCTAAACCCTAAACCCTAAACCAATCACTACTTACTGGGTGGAATCAGTTTACCCGGATCTGCAAAGCCCCAACTCTGCGGTCGATAAGCTTGCCAAAATGGCGTGAGATCTCTGTTTAAGCGTGGAATGTTTGGTTTTAGACATCCTCACATGATCAATGGCATTCTGCCCTCTATATATTCTGACTCAACACCGCAAGAGCGCGGCTATGTGGGCGGCTGCTACTACTGGCTGGGGCCTTCACTAGCACAAGTGTATAATCATGGTTGTAGACATCTTCTGCGCTGGATCCACCCGCTTATTTGCTGGACTCTGAGGTTTGGCAATTGTCTGGACGACCATATTCATATATATATATATGAGTAAACCCGGATCCAAAACCCCAGCCCTGAACCTTGAATCCTGAAACCCCACATGCCAAAGCGTAACCCCTACATCCCATATCTTGAAATTCCTCCTGGTAGGCTTTAGGCCTGTCGCTGCCCTATTCGAGCTCCTCGCCGGCAGCCTCACCGGAGAAGCCGCCAGCTCAGGGGAAAGCTTCACACGCACAATTTTACTTTGGGGTAGTACTTGCAGGGTCAGGGAGACTTAGTAGGAACATGTTGCGGATCATGGGGTGCAAAGCTGAATCGTAGAAACTGTATGTCTACTTACCTAAGTACGATTTTGGGATTGGAGTCTTAGGATTCAGGAAGCTGCCTGGCATGGATTAACCCACGTTCCCGTTCTGTTTCCTAGCAGCTCATTTGGTTGAGCCCCGGGTTGCATATGAAGGGTACAAGCAATGTGTGTCTGTGCATGCTTAACATCCTGGAAAGGGATGTGCGAAGAGCATGAGAGGAATCCAACGCGAGGCCCCTCGATTGTGTTCCTTGCCTCAAAAATGTCATGGGTCTAAGAGTGGACCTTGATAACTTCAGCAAAACCACAAACCCTTCAACTTTTCCAGTTTGAGAGCCTGCTGTGGCCAAAGCGAGGCGGGCGGAATGCCAGCGAGTGGCGCAGTGCGTGAAGGAGTGGCAGTGTTGTTCATCTCCTTCTCGGCATTCTGCTTCCTAGCGTTTTACTTAATGGTTCTTAGTAAGGAGTAGCTATGCTACTTCGGGTTTTAAAACGGGGTACATTCCCGTACTCCCTGCTAAGAACCAGTAAGTTCAGGAAGTAGGGGGAGCATTGAAGTAAAAGTCCTAGACACCATAGGAACACTGTCCTCTGATCTGCAGGAGTCCTGAAGTCGCATCGTATCCTTGATAACCTGGGTTGCTGCTCAGAAACTTGATTTTAGGTTACCTTCATGGGCATATATGATAATTCATAGGGTTCCCCCATTTCTAGTAAGTTAAGTAAACTAAGTTCCTTAACAGCAACCCAGTAACTTTGCATCTCCATCTTGCCTCCAGGCCATGCTTGAAAGGAACCTCAAGCCTCTGGACATCGTCACGCACCTTGGCGGAAAGAGGGAAGAGAAAAAAGGAGAAGGAGAATGAGGTAGAGGAGCGTATAGGAGGGAGGAGGGAGGAGGATTGGGAGTGGAGGAATGGAAAGGTGTTTGTAGTAGGTACTGTGGTCACTGATCCTTGGTCTTTCTGGCGCATTGCAGCTTCCAAAGTCGAAGATTCGCTGCAAACTGCAAGGGCATCCAGTCCTAGCTGAACTTAAGCATCATAAGTGATGTGCAAAGTTCCCCCAAGTATCAAGGTGGATTTGAGTACGTTTGCGTGCAATTAGAGTCGGAACTCCAACAAGAAACCATCTCGAGTCATTGTCCATGCATTCAGGGCAGTCGCTGTTCTCTGGGCTCTTTGTCATCTTGGGGATATGGTAGTTTCCCTCAATAGGGGGACCCCAAGATAGAACCCAAAATACTATAAGCCTTATTATGGGGACCCCCAAAATGGTACCCCTAATTTTGGGAAACTCTCATATTCTTCTAAAACGGAGACCTGAGTTCGGAAGTATCCAGGTGACAACCGCAACATACGAAAGACCAGGCTTTGCCCTGCCCTGCTTCCCTTACCCAGAGGGTCCAACTACCTAATAATTAGGTACTTAGGTTTTGGGCAATAGTAATTGTAGTATAGGTTTTGGGTAAGTATATGATTATTAGGTACTTGGACCCTTAGGGTTAGAGACCAGGAAAAAGTCCTTCGAGAATGCCATGGTGCTGGTGAATGCTTTAGGCTCGGTTGCTGTTTGCTAGCTGCAGGCTTATCTTCAAGAGGTTCCCTTTCCAAAAGGACGAGAAGCCCTGAAGAGCAATGGTGGGGATATGTTGCGGGAACCTTGCAAGGCTAGGAGCTTGGCAATATAGGGTTTAGGGTGTAGGGTTAAGGGGTTGAGGATTTAGGGTTTAGGGTTTAGCATGTCGGGTTTAGGATTAAGGGTTTGGGGTTTAGGGTTCATGGTTTAGCCTGAAACCTTGACATCTTTATCTTCACCACGTTCACAGGAAACCTACGCCCTGAACTCTCTCTCAGCGTCATCATCTAGACCTGGATGCTGTCTGCAGCACGGAAGTGTAGGCGGGCGGCTCATACTCATCTGACAAGCAAATCAGAAACAACAGTTGGGGGATTTCCAAGTTGTTGGGTTCTCTTGAGAAGGCGTCCAGGAGAATGCAGGCTAAATTTGGAAGGAAGGAAGGTAAGGTGATCCCAATGCTGATTACCTGGACCCCAAAAGTAAGTAGACAAATGGCCCGGAAACCTTTAAAAGGCCAACAAGCCCATCATTCTACATACTTTGGGGGTCCAGGTCACAGCAAGTGTGGGTGCAGCGTCAGGTGGATCCACCAATGCCGTGCTCCACTTGCTCCTGGGTGCAGTTGGGATGTTATGGGAACTCGGGGTATATAGGTAATTCACAAGGATATATTAGGAATGTATAAGGATTTACAAAGATCTGCTGGAATTTGCAAGACCATATAGTTATTTCAGTTGGATTTAAGGTTACCTCAATAGCGGAGAATCAGATCAAACAGAAAACACAGATGAAATGGACACTGGGCTTGTGTGGTGGTTTACGGGGATGAGTCATTCGAGAAACTAAGTGTTTTTTGTCTTAGCACATTGATTATACATGGGGGCCTTCTTATGCAAATTGTACCATGAGGCCCTGGATGTCGCGGGGTCATCAGCAGGAGTCTCTCTTGCAAGACTTCTAGAGGTAGCCTTCGTCTTCGGCCACACTCACGCTGCGGCATTGTTGAAAACGAGAGTGTACACACTCTCGGAACAGGGAACCGCAAGAAAGAACCAGGAACATCTTCACATGTACGCGACTCGAACTGGTTCCTGTCTGTCCTCAGAAGGGCCCATATATGTCGCCCACAGACCAATATTATGGTTCTAGACTCCCTGTATGAAAACGTTATAGTCCACCTCCAAAAAACACAAATTGATGCTACTACTGTTCAGCCTTCAAAAGTGGTAACCCTCGCCCAAACATAACAACAGCTTCCACTTCACGGTCCACGTTTGTTTTCATTTGGTTCTCTAGTTTTGGTAATTATTTATCCCCTCAAACCCTGAACCCCTTTACAGCCTTAATAATATACCCTACATGAATCCTACATCATAGTCCTGTACCCCTAAGCCCTAAACACCTAAACCCCAAATCCCTAAACCCTGTAACTATTTAGGTCCCTAAGCGAATGTTTTCGCCAAACAGCGACAAAGGCTGGCTATTGCTGCGACTGCCGGCGCTCCTTGCCGGCAGCCTTGAGTCAGAGTGTGTTTTTTTTGTTTAGGGGTTTAGG